AACAGCAAAGCAATAGCAATTTCGGCAAAGTTCATCAATGAATGCTAAAACCACTAAGCAAAACGTTGGAGAACAGGATATTCACACATTCTCCAAGTATCACCTTACAGAGGAGCCCTTTTAAGTTACAGCAGGGAAAGGGTACTTTTACAATGGAGAGATACAGGTGATCAAATTCAGCATCTCCGATAATGTATCTCCTGATGTGGCAAAATGGAAAGTACACAGCACCACCTATGTAATTTCTCACCAAAAAATATTTAACCTAAATCTAATGACAAGGAAAAAATCAGATGAATCCAAGTGATGCTACATTCTATAAAGCACTGGCCAGACTCTTCAAACATCCATGTCATGAAAGAAAGAAAAAGGCAGAAGGAATGTTCTAGATTAAAGACTAAAGAGACATGACAACCAAATGTGATGTCACTTGATTGGATTTGACACTGAAAAATAAAACTGTAAGACATATCTTGGAGATAGCCCAGGAGGGGCAAAGTGTCATCAGGTCTGCAACTTACTTTCAAATGGTTTGATAAAATAAAGTATATACTGGAGAGAGGGAGATAACATAAATATGGCAAGGTATAAACTCTTAGTGAAGGGCGTATGATAAAGGGTAATATTCTTCCAATGTTTCGGTAGGTTTACATTTTTCAAAATAAAAAAAGGGTAATGAATGCATGATTATTTACTGCTTTCTCCTTGATGTGGTGACAGATATTTTTAGCTTTTCCTAAATTTCAAGTCTTCACCTGCATTCTTTTTTTAGTATCTTTTCTCATGCATGCCCAATCATCACCATATGCTGACCTTTGCCTATGACAAACTGCTCCCAGGAATGCTCTCTGGCAAAGTGTGACAAATCTGGATATTCCCTGACAACGGATACCTCATTCTGTCACTATATTATGATCTAGTTCTTTTTTTTTTGCTAAAGAGTTAAGTATACATTTCTAATAGTAAGCTAGAGATTTTTATTTGTAGGTTAAAATACATTTCCTAACTAATTAAATTACTTGAATGTTACAGTTTATTAATAAAAACTCTCTAACATTAAAAAATTGTACTCTGAAATTTTAAGTTTTAGAAATAAAAGTTCCAAATGATATACTTTAACTTTAGATACAGTTGCCGTTGAGCTGACCCCAACTCATGGCAACGCCATGTACAACAGAACAAAACGCTGCCCAGTCCTGCCTCATCCTCATGATCATTGGCAGGCTCAAGTCCATCACTGTGACTATTGTGCCAAGCCATTTCACCGAAAAAACTGCCAGTGAAAACCCTATGGAGAAAAGTTCTACTCTCACACACACGGGATCACCAAGAGGCAGAATCGACCTGACGGCCACTGGATTGTTTGTTTTTTTTCCTTTTAACCTTCCTGCTCCAACTGCTCCTTCTAAAGTCTCCTTCAGAGGCTTTCCTTTCTTTTCTTTCTTCCTTAAATGTTTTTTCAACGTTTTCACCTGGGTGACCCACATCAGTATCTCAAGTATAATATGTCCAAAATTAAATTCATTAACTACACCCCAGCATGCACCTTGATCATGGGTTCCCTGATGTAAGTGGCAGTGCCTGCCTTCAAGAAATTCCTGGGTGGTGCAATGGTGAAGTACTCAACTACTAACTGAAAGGCTGGCGGTTCGGATCCACCCAGAAATGACCCAGAAGACAGGCCTGGTGATCTGCTTCTGAAAGGTCTCAGTCTTGAAAACCCTATGGAGCAGTTCTACTCTGCACACACAGGGTCACCATGAGTCAGAACGGACTCAACAGCAACTAACCACCACCACCACACACCTTTAATGGATATGACCAGAACCTGTCAATTCTAAATATCTCTATTCACCACTCCAACTGGAGCAATTTAGGAATTCGTGATTTCTCACTGGATAACTGAAAACAGCATTCTTGCCTCTAGACTGACCCTTGTAACCCATTCTTCACACTGCCCCCAGAGTGGATTCTGACCAGGCCTCCAGTCTCATCTATTTTACTACTAACCCTTGTCCCAATATCATAACTGCCCAGGCAACATGTACGTGCCAACCTCTCTCATCTTATGGCCTTGGCACATGCTGTTCCCTCTACAGGAAACACATACTACCCCTTCTTTACCTAATGTTTACATAATCTAATGTAAAACTCAACTTGGGGTTCCTTTTTCCAAAATAATGTGTCTGACACCTTGTAATCCCCTCAGAACAACGTTCCTATAAACTCCTGAACACCAGATATTTACAACTATCACAGTACTTAATCAGGCTGTATTTTTTATTGCCTGTGTACTTGCCATACATATTTTCTTCTCTGATGACAGAACTATCTTTTTTAATCTCTTGTCCCTGGCACTTAAAACACTGCTTTAAAAATACTTACCACACAAACGTTTATTAAGCAGTGTTCCTCAAAACAAGCATGTATTCTATTCTGCCTGAGAGTCATTTAACAAGCTCATAAGTAATCCGAACCCCAATCCAGGCACTTGCGACACTTACAAACTTTTTAAAAAAAATTTACTGCAGTGAAGCCTTCTTATATTAATTGAATGCTTTTAAAAAGCCAAACTAGAATAGACTAGCATCCTCTGAAGACAAAAGTACGAGTTATAAAACAGAATGGTACAGATCCCATATCAAGCACATCCATTTTCATTTTACATAAAACTTGACAATTATTAATTCCCATTAAATTGACAACAGGTACTGTACTTCATATGGCAGTCAAGACTAGAATGAACAAAGGGTATTTAGGAAAATATTAAGCATCTGTTTATATGTCAGTATATAAACAAAAGTTCAAAGTTTAAAATGTAGCCTGAAATTCAATGTTCTTATTAATAGAAAGCAACGGTTACTGCTGGACTGAGGAGCTCTGGCGGTGCAACAGTTAGACACTTGGCTGTTAACCGAAAGGTTGGCGGTTAGAACCCCCCAAGCAACTCCACAGGAGAAAGACCTGGCGGTCTGCTTCTGTAAAGATTACAGCCATGAAAACCCTATGGGGCTAATTCTACTCTGTCAGACAGGCTCACTATGACTTGGAATCGACTCAGTGGCATCCAACAACAACTACTGTATTGAGGAAGTCACTGATGAGTAATGTGACCTTGAACAGGCTATTTTACCTCTGTGGAGTCCAGTTCCTTTAATATGTAACTCATATTTCAGTAGCTTTTGACCCCACTAGCTAAAGTATTTCTAGAAGTGTTGTATATGTTCACAAGCGCTAGGTAGTGCTACTACTTTCACTATGTACTAAATGTCCTGTGCAATGAGCTACGTATCTCTGCAGCCCTCCAGAAGCCAAAGTTTCAGTTTTTGGCAAAATGGTGGAGAATGTTTCTATCCCTCTTTAAAGTTACACTCAAAAAGGACATCAAACAGGTGTTGCTTATGCCTCTATAACCTTGAGTTCTTAATAAAGTGGATCATTCAGTTTTTATTTACAGGGGCTCAGAAAACCCTATGGTCCAAGGCAAAAATAAACACAAACGTTACAGGGCTCACAATCACTGTATTCTTCCAAAGACCAGGACTTTGTCACACAATCAAGCTCATTATGCCTGGATGCTCTTCCCCTTTGGAGAAGAAGTCTCTCCCAGGGGAGCCCCTTAGTCTCAGAAACAAAATCTTGGACAGTGTCTAAACTCCAGGATGGTCGCAGTTTTCTCTCAAACTGGGAATCTCCAATCAATATAAAATGAGGTGCCGAGAAAAGATGTCCTATAATAAAGGCCCTATCCGGATCTAACAGTTCCTTTCTAACCAACTGCGTTTACAAATAAAGGCCAGAAGCATAAATAAGTTCTTTTACTTTCCAGGGAACTCTCTGAATGTGCATCTGCTGTAGAAATGCACAATAGACTCTTTTGTCCTGCCATCCTCAGGGATGTCTACAGTGACTCACTCAAAAATGACTCAAGTACAGGGGTGTTCTTCCACCAACTCAGAAAAAAATAACCTCTTCAAGTGTACATTTAAAGATTATTCTAAATTCTGAAACAGATTAATAAATGATTACAAGAATACTAAAGTTTACATTTTTTCAGGACTATCTAGATCCAACTTTTAGTAAAAAAAAAAAAAAAAAAAAAAAATTTTTTTAAATTATCCCCCAAAAAAAAAAAAAAAAAAAGCTATTTTAAAAAAATCCTCTTCTGATTGTAAGCAGGCAATTAGCACATATCTGAGTATGAAATTTTTGCCCCCCAAAAGTTTTAGATCATCTGGCGAAAAAGTAAGAAAAATTAAAACTGGTGTTTATCTATATTTCTTTGTGAGGTTTCCTGCAAATGTGTTTGAAGTCATACAAAAAAGGAGCTCCTGTTCCAAAATATGACCAAGTTTCCTCCATCTGAATTATCTTTGAAGAACTGCCAGGTAAAACACATGATTTATGGTAACTGTACATTATTTATATTTTAATGAGAATATTAATAGCAAACTTTGCCCTATTGTGAAATTTCATCGGTCTTTTTATCCCAGCAATAGAAATCACAACTAGAATTTTAGGGGAACTGCATTTTCCACATTTCTTTTCTTTTCTAAGGTCATTTACTCTACAAATATTTGGATACCTACTATGCACCACCAAGGACTGCACAATAGGCATGAAGGGTTCAGTCAACTGTCCTCAAGGAGCTCACAGTCCAGCCAGGGAGACAAACATGCAAACAATGATAACACAATGCAGTAATTACCATGACAGAGGAAGGTGCAAAGTATCCTCAGAACAGACAGAAGGAGTGGAAAAGTGAGGAAGGAGGCACAGCTCTGCAGAAAGAGCACTGGAAGTAAGATTTTAGTGAGGAGTCTGAATTTGCCAAGCCAATGGTTAGCTTTCCAGACAGAAGAAATGACAAGCTAGTATGTAGGGCTACGATTTATTAATGCTCACTATGACAGGTATTTTACTAAATACATACATTATCTTACTAATCTTCACAACAATCACAAAAAGATACTCTGTCTTACAGAAGTTAGATAACTTGCCTATGGTCACTCATATTCTCAGTGTTGGAGCCCAGATTTGAAGAAGGCTTATTCAAATGCAAAATTCCAGGGCAATAAATCCGGCACCACACTCTTCTGACCTACACAGAGCACAGAAATAGGAAAGAATGTGGCACAACAGACAACGGTTCTTACCTCTCTATATGTACAGGTTTCTCCCGCTATCCAAAAGTAGGCATTCCTTTGAAACCTTTCATAAGCCAAAATGGCATAAAGCGAAGAAGCAATTTCCATTAATTTATACGGGAAAAATCTTTGAGCGTTCCCAGACTCAAAAATAACCTACCAAATCATACTAAATAACACATGAAATCTAAAACAGCACTAACATATAGTAAAAGCTGGACTGCTGAGTGTAGTTCCTGGGGAAGGAGCTTGGCGATACCACTCTCGTAGCTTGGGGTGCAGGCTGCCTCTTTAACAACTTGCTGCAAAACAAACGTTGAACACTATTTCCGCTTTTTTCATAAAAGGGAAAATCCTCTTCAGATTTCTTTCAGTTAGAAGCAAAAGTGGCAGAAAACGAAGTTTCGAAAAGTGGGGGATACCTGTATCAGAATTGCTTGAGGCACTTTCTATTAACACCAATACCTACAGTAAAAAGATCTAATTCATGAAGTAAAGGGTGGGTCAGGCATTAAAGAAAAAACTAAAATAAAAAGCTTCTCAGGCTGAGGAATATACATAGCCTAGGTTGAGAAGTACTATGTTAGGATATTTACAAGTAGTTAAAAATGTGTGTATTTGGGGTGAGGCAGAGGATCACGGAGGACCTTACAGCTTTCCCCTTGCCATGAGAGCCAAAATCACAAATATAGTACACTTGCTGCCTTAATTTTCTTTGGTCTTAGGCTCTCTGCAATCCACTGCAATCAGGCACTTTCTTAATCAGCCCACAGAAATCATTCTGACAGAAGCAATCTAAATGATTTATCAGTCTCCCCACAGATTTTTTTGGATTTTATTTAGGTGCAAGTTTACAGTGCAAATTAGTTTCTCATTCAAAAATTAATGTATACACAAATTGTTTTGTGACATTGGTTGCAATCCCCACAATGTGTCAGTATTCTCCCACTTTCCCTTTCCACCCTGGGTCCTCTGTGTCCATTTGTCCAGCTTTCCTGTCCTTTCTTGCCTTCGCTTTTAGGTCAGTCCTCACTTTTCTTGAACGCTCTACAGTATCTGACATTATTGATTTGTGATATCTTTCTGAAATGCCCTCCTATAATAGCACTCTTCTGTTCTCCCCCTACCTCTATAACAATTGCTTTTTATTCTCTTTGTAGTTTTGTTTTCTTCTGTAAAAAACATGGCGTGGCAGAGGCGTATGAACTCCTCTAACTTCATAAGTGGGAAGGAGAATCAAGATCAACAGCCTAAGAATGATTCCTATGAGGCGGCAGCCAGACATACCTCCCCTCTCCAACCTTTTCACCAATTCTGACACCAGCTGTCTCTCCCATGGCACTCTCTACGTCTCTGCTGGGTTTGATAATGCAATGGGCACAAAGAACTCACAGACCATACTCACAGTTAAGGGGTTTATTAGGGAAGTAACAGATTACAATTCAAGAGGAAGGACGCAGGATATAGTTCTTCAATCAGGACAGCCTCTTCTCAGCCCGCAGGCGGGCCTCTCTCTCCAGCCCTCACCCTGGCCTCTGCCCTGCACAGGGAAGTGTTATAAATCTCTTCAGCTCTGCCAGTAAGTGCCCGGGGGCATCCTACCCCACCAGTAAGTCTCAGCCTGAAGGTGCTCAGCTCTCTCGCTCGGTGGGCCAGAAAGCTCACCATGCCATCTCCTGCCAGTCTACTAGTTCTGCTGCTGCCACTTCTCTACCACTGCTAATCGCTGTCTTGCACTGTATCCCGTGTTACAACTCTCTCTCTCCCCATCTCCTGGGTCTAGGAGGATCTCAGAGCAGGAACCCCAAGTCCAAAGGACATGTTCCGGTCTCGTCTCTTCTTCTTGGTGGTAGTCAGGTCCCTCCTGTCAGCCTCTAGGATGGCTCATTTTAAGCCTAGCAGAATGGCAAAACTGACCAATCCTCTCGTTAGAGTTCCATACACCTTATTTGCATGGTCCCACCCCTCACAAGAGTATCATGCACCTTATTTACATTATCAGCAAGCTATACAATCCCCTTGGTGGGCCACAAGCAGCTCATCTGCATAGTCTCACTCAGTCATTTGGTGGAAGTTATAAAGACTATGCCTAGAAGGGCCATATTAAGTAATTCACTGCACTGTATATTTTAATCCTCCATTCCTTTGATATTAGGGCACCCAAAGGGTCTGTACTTAGCCCCTTCTATCATTACTCCACATTTTCATCCTGGTCATTCCCACCAATCCTATGACTTCATCTGTGATTCATATGCTGTGGACTCCCAAACCAGCTCAGACGCCTAGCTTGTTTTGATGCAAAGCTCCAGTTGAACATCTTACTGCACATCACTATCTGTAATCCCTCTTTGCTGTTGTTGTTGTTAGCTGTCATCGAGTCAATTCAGACTCATGGTTACCCCATGTATGCACCGCAGAACTGCTTCATAGGGTTTTCAAGGCTGTGACCTTTTAGAAGCAAATCACTAGGCCTTACTTCCTAGGTGCCTCTCGGTGGGTTTGAACCGCCAACCTTTGGCTTAGTAGTCCAGCACTTAACCACCTGCACCATGCAGGGACTCCTGTACCCCTCTGTAGTTGTTGTTATGTGCCACTGAGTTGATTCCAACTCATAGCTACCCTATAGCAGAAATGACCCATACGGTTTCCTAGACTATAATCTGTGCGAGAGCACACCTCTAGCTCTTTTCTCCCACGGAGTGGTTAGTGAGTTCGAACTGCAGACCTTCTGGTTAGCAGCTGGGTGCTTAACTACTGCAGCACCAGAGTTTCTTGCATCCCCTCTAGGGGGTCTCAAACCCTTTCCAAAACTGAATTCATTCTCTTCTCACCTCAAATAATGCACTATTACGCATCCAGTTACGAAAATCAGAAAGCTCAAAAATCATCTAAATTTCTGCTTTGCTCTTACACTCAGTCCAATGACCATGTTGGACCAATTCTACTTCCTCAAAACCTCGATATCCCATCTGCTGCTGCCACCACCAGGTGTATTTGTTTCCTGTAAGTAGGAGGACCATACCTCCTGGTTTTCTGGCTGTCTTGGTGTAATTATTAAGTCTTACCTTTCACTCACAAAAGTATGCCAGTTTGGACACAATGCTGTATGTTCACCCTACCTATAAAGCTCCCTGTCTCTGGTCTAGCTCCCTTCCAATGCATCTTCAGCCATGTCCACAGAGTAATCTTTATAAAATAGACCTTAATTCCAGGCTTTCAACCCTCCAGTGGTGCTCCTTTACTTATAAGATGGAGTCCAAATCTTTGAAATGATTCAATCCTGCTAGTATATACAGCTTTATCATCTATCGTCCAACAACATGTACCACCACCCCAAAACACTCTATACTCTAGTCCAGTATTTTGCAACCTTTTTTTCATTATTGTCCCCCTCCCACAAAGAGCCCTTTTAGACATTTTTTCCTAATTCCCACCCCACACCAATTAAATACTAAGGAATAAGATTTTGTCAAGTAGCACTGAGTTTTGGAGGGCCAAAAACCATTGTAATATCTAAGCTTTATTGCTCCCCTAAAAACTATTTTTTGCCCCTTTGGGGGTGATATCACACCTACTAGGAATGTATGCTTTAGATTTATAAATTTACTTCTTGTTCTACAAATGTGCCTGGCTATTCTACCATCAGTACCTTTGATCCTGCTGCTCCCTGCCTGTCCTCATGTCATCCAGACATCTATTCATCACATTTAAGATTCAGCTCATTGTTCCTCCAAGAAGCCTTTCCTTTCCCCATTTCCCAGTTCCAAAGTACCCTGTTTAGATCTTTACCATTAATAACCTTAACAGCTTACTACATTTATATTTTCATGTCTGTCTCCTAGTCACTGAAGAACAAGGGCTATGTCTATTTTCTCTACAACCTTGGCTCTATCATGTCTGACACATCATTTGTTAAAATGAATGAATAAATTAATTTTATCATCTATGTGAGGTAATGATACATCTCAGTTTACCTGAGACAGTCTCTGTTTATACCTGTTCTTCTGGCATAAATATTAAGAGCACCTCCTTTCATTCTCAGAGTCCTTGGGTGGCACAAATGGTCAAGAGCTCAGCTACTAACTGAAAGGTTGGAGGTTTGAATCCATCCAGAGGTGTGTCAGAAGAAAGCCTGGTGATCTACTTCTGAAAAAAATTAGACATTGAAAACTCTATGAAGCTCAGTTCTACTCTGAAACACAGAGTCCCCAGGAGTCGGAATCAACTGGACAGTAACTGTGTGTTTTTGTTGTTTTCATTCTCAAAAGTGTCCTGATTTGGATGCCAGCTTACATTGTTAACCTATATCCAGACAGTGGGAAATAATTAACAAATTCAGAGCAAGAGTACAACATGATCAGATCCAAGTGTGTCAGAAAGATCACTCTTGGCAGCAATATGGAAGAAAGACAATAAAGTGACTCAAGCAAAAATTCAGAGGTAGAAAACAATAAAAGAACCTGAACTAGGGTAGTACAACTGGTGACGAAGAGGCTAGAGAGATTCAGGAGCAAAATCAACAAGGTTCAGTGGCCAGTTGGCTATAAGGAGGAAGACAGCCAGAGGAATCAAGACTGAGCAACTGCACCAGTCACCAACAGAACATTAAGGAGGGAGAATGACAATGGTTTCAATTTAGAACAAGTGGTTGAAGGATCTGAAGAACACCAGGAAGTCATGTCTAGTTTATGATATATATGGGTCTGAAGCACTTGAAAGAGGGTAAGTTGGAATATGTAGTCTTAAAAGATGTCAGCCTACAAGAATTAAGGCAAGTTGCTGAATGAGACTGCCCAGGGTGTACAAAGTCAGCAGTTGTAATGAAGAGAAAATATTCTTTTTAATACATGAGGACTTTATGTATTTCTAAATTTTGTTTTTTTTAAACATATTTATCGATCATTTAATATGTGCAAAGCATAGTGCTAAGCACTTGGAGGTAGGGAGAGGGGAATAAACCTTAAATGAGCATTATAAGGAGCTCACTATAAGGTAAAGAAGGGTTGGAGAAAGAATGATGCTGAATATGGACTGACTTGAAAAGCAGCCAAGTTCAAAGTTTCAATTTTGATAGGCTTCTTTAAAGTGATTTTGGAATAAAGACTCAAAGTGAGTGCATTTAACAGCTTTAGCTGTTTTTGGGCACTTAGCTTCCCACAGAGTATTCAAGTCTAAAATCTTCCATAAGAAAACCTTTGTAAAGTGGAAAAGGGAGTAAGAGAACTAGTTCAAGAAAGACAACGTGCTGTGGAAGCTGGATCTGAAAGTAGGAGAAATGGCCAGAAAAGTAAAAAACTGTGTGTGAAAGATTATATCTAAATGGCACACTTTAGAATATGTTTCCATACTAGTGTCTGACTCACTAAGATTTTGTTTTGAGTTGACAGTTTTACCTAAAGACAACAGATAGTTCAAAATAAAGAAACCATTAATTTTGTCCCAGAAACACACAGGAGAGTTCTTTACTCATTAATTATATGATGCAAACACCTGACTACAAGATGCCACTTCTTCTATATGTGTATATTTTTCATCACGTTTTGCACCTAGTAGGTATTCAAGGAAAAATAAGCTGAGTGAATGAACTTTATCCTCTTCTATCATACACTTTATTTGCTTGGCTTCCAGGACACCACCACTCTTTCTTGGTTTTCCTTCTACCTCACTGTTGGCTCCCTCTCATTCTCCTCTACTGGTTTCTGTTCTTCTCCCCTGACCCTGTAGTTATCTAGTGCCCCAGCCACTATCTTGGGTCCTCTCTATTGTCTAGCTACACTCACCACCTTGGCAATTTCATCCAGTGTCATAACTTTAAATAATATCTGTAAGCTGATGACTGTAAAAATTTTTATC